GCCTTTTCTGGTCCTACAGCAATAAGCCTCGTGGAGGGAGCACACACAGCAGTGTGTGGTGCTGTGCCCGGTGTTGGACAGACCTCACCCACTGCTGGAGGGCTTTGCTGCTGCAGCTCCTTACCTCTGGGTCACTTGCCTGGACCATATCAGTTTGAATCAAGTTTAAACCATTCCTTCTCCACAGCTCCATTTACAAGTCCACTTGAAGCCATCCTCCCACAGCTTTTCTACTTGTGACATCTTTGCCTGCTCCCTTACAGCGGTGCTCTTGCTTCCACGCTGCTTTTTACACCAAGAACAGAGTCCATGCAACAGTTGCCTTATTTTACTGCTTCTCCCCCTTTTACACCTAGAAGGAGTCAGACCACTAATTAGAGCTAAGTTAAACAGTAGTTAAAGAAAGATCCTTTTATGTATTTACTCACAAGAAAATAGTTTAAAATACCTGCATGTTCTCACTAAGATTAGCTTTGCCTTTACTCCCATAGGGAGTGGTACTTGTTGTATGTCTGTCTAACTCCATCATAAGCTCTTAGCTCAGTATCACTGTTATCTCACAGACTGACCTCTTGATCCTTCTGGAAGCTGTCACCTGTATCTCAGTGAGTAAACAGATAAAGTGGTTATCAGAAGTGACCAATTTCATCCACATTGTTTGAAGAAGGAGCAAAAGAAACCATGTTCTCAGCATGTATGATCTATGACTTAGATTCTCATAAAGCATATGACTAAAATGAACATGCCTTTTTAAAATTGGTCTACACTTATATTTACACAAGTACAGATATTTCAGTTGGGGATATGATTTAACAATAGAGTTGTTTTTTAACAGTTTTTACAAATGCTAACTCAGCAAGGGAGGAAGCTTAACTCTTAGTGATCTGCTGCGTGTACCTTGGAGAGGTGACACAGGCACATTAAGTTACAGCCGCAGTCAATAACCTTTGAGGTTTGAGGTGACTAAAGCTCCCTTCTGAGGGCCAAAACCCACATCGGGGTGAGCATTGTGTAGCAGAACATCAGAGATGTGGCTCCTGGGGGGCCCCGTGGGACAGTTTCATAACTTTCAGCATTTCCTAACCTTGTAATTTCAGATGTCACACTGGGACGTAGAAGAGAGAGAGGATTTCTAAAACATTTCACTTTCTTTTTTTTATTGTGGTTTAATAATCAGATATACTGAGAAAAAAAGGTTTGTTATGGGCAACCTCTGCAGTGAGGGTTACAAATAGTGTCACTTCTCAGCAAGTGAGTGGCTTTTAGGAAAAAGACATTTAATGAAAAGCTATTTTTAAATGCTTTCTTGGAGAAAACAGGAACATATAGTCTGCTGCTCTAAACAAAGCACGTGCGGCTGCATTTGTAACTCGTTTTGCCTTGCTTAGGAAGGGTGGCAGCACATTGATCATCCCAATGACCAATGCTGGGATTGGAATCCCAGGGCTAGACAGCAGTAGTGCAAAGCTACTCTCACCTTCTTTCAGGAAACAAGGAACTAGCTAGTATACAGAAAAAGCCCTACAGACTCAACTACCTGCAGCTTCAGTGGAGGAGCAGCCACACAGTGCGATCTTAGTTTGAGATTGTGGCACATACCAGCCCGTAACCGTATCATGACCTGGGAGCGCACCTGCCCTTATGACAGATTCCATGACAGGGACATCCCTTCTGGTGAAGGCTCTGGAGCACAAGTCTTATAAAGAGTGGCTGAGGGAGCTGGGGGTGTTAAGCCTGGAGAAAAGGAGGCTGAGGGGAGACCTTATTGCTCTCTACAGCTACCTGAAAGGAGGTTGCAGCAAGGTGGGGATCACTCTCTTTTCCCAAGTAACAAGCGATAGGACGAGAGGAAACAGCCTCCAGCTGCACCATGGGAAGTTTAGATTGGATATTAGGAAAAATTTCTTCACTGAAAGGGTTGTCAAGCACTGGAACAGGCTGCCCAGGGAAGTGGTTGAGTCCCCATCCCTGGAGGTCTTTAAAAGATAGGTAGATGTGGTGCTTAGGGACATGGTTTAGTCGTGGACTCAGCAGCGCTAGGTTAACGGTTGGACTCGATGATCTTAAAGGTATTTTCCAACCTAATCAATTCTATGATTCTATTTTCCTTGTCCTCCCGCACCGGATCACTTCACAAGGGAAGAATCATATGTTGCCCACCCATGCGGAGTACTACAACTCACCTGGCTTTGGAGAAGCACGACATAATCCTGGTGCAGCATCCAAGGACTGCATTAAGGGACTGGAGATGGGCTAAGAAGGATGGGAGTGGGGCTGCAGTCCTCTGAACCTCCTCCCTGCCATTCGTGATGGGCCTGTCATTTTCAGAGAACACAGAAGATGGTTACAGATCCTCACAATGTAAATGTTTCCATTCTTTATACAGGCCAAGACCAGTGTTTATCAGCATACAGTTGTACTCACATCAGGTGTAGAGGGGAAGTCTTCCTCTTTCAGCCACTTCGTAGCAATGATTTCCTTGCCCCAACTTTGTTTCATCACCAGATGTCTTTGCAGACTGGCAGCTTAAATCTCTGTAACAGCAGGTTGTATGTACCTGTTGCATGTGCCCTCCAGCTTCTTCATTATGAGGTGGGAAACTAATTCTGACTGTATTCCCACCTAAGTTAAAAGGAGAAAGTAAGCTTTTGGGTGTTACACACTTGTGCATGTAAATTCCTGTGTATGAACTGGCATTTTGTGTCTGTTAACATGCTCCTTGAATTTTTGCTGTATTCAAGAATTAACTATTTAAAATAAAGGCACTAAGGCTTTTCAGACTGATCAATGTACATTAGCTTCACTACAAAACTCAGAATGATCCTGAGCCATTTTACAGGTAATCAAGTGAGGTCCACAGTCCGTACAATAGCTTCTTACCCATACCTTTGGGAGCCTGTAGGCAAGACTATTTCTTTGGTCGCATCTTCAACTGGGAAGCAGAGTGAAATAGTGCACATGGATGCAATGAACCTATAAAAACAAGAGTACAAGTGAAAAGGAAGAGACATGAAACATTTTCTGGTAAACAGTCCTGACTTCTTTCTTGGTAAAAATACCAAAGAGCTGCTAACAGAATCATTTATCATAACTAGTACATTTAACAACAGAAAGAAATATCAGCTAAACCAATTAAACACAATTCATTGTGGGGCAAATCCATTGACAAATACAGTCCATCATGCAGTGAAAGAGACCCTTGGCAGTCAATTCCAATAAATGAGATTTATACAAAAGAGAAAAGGTTTTTCAGTCAGTTATTTCATACTTTACTACTTCAGAAAGTGAAATCAGCAGCCCCTTTTTTCCCCCTGTAGCTCAGAAATAGCAGGTTTATAAATTCAGTCTGATACTATCAGAGTCACACAGGATTGCTGGAAATTCTGCAGAAGCTGCTGCTGTCATTTGACTCTACTTATCACTTTCATAACTAAGGCTCGGGAAAAGATATTGCTTCACTAGTTGAGCAGTTCCAGTTGGCCAGGGTTGGTTTCTTTGTGGAGAACGAAGATGTTGAATTGCAAAGAATATTTAAAAGTGCAGAACTTTTCCCTGTGTCCTTTGGCTGCGTGGAGGTTTAGGGAGCTCACATGTTTAATCTCAAGTTGGGATTTAGACAAGTCAACTCCTGCTCTTACCCCTTCTTACAAATGACATACAACTAGTCCATAGGCATGGTGATTAAGCTTATGGGGAATAGTCGTTCAGATTATCTCGAGTTGGCCACTGGGTGGTCGCTGTACTAGGTGCAGTGCAACTACAGACAATTTGCTCCTGTGCAAATGATACAGTGATGAGTATGAACAAGGGTGATGAGCAGTGATACACGGGTTAAAACAGCTGATGTGCCTAAAGACAATCTGTATGTGCAGAAGAGACACGGTGCTAAATGCCCCGGTTCCAAGAGCAGGGTACATAGTTTCCCACAGTCCAGTGCCCAGAATATAACAACACTATATGACAAGCTTACCTACAAGTTGTGGGATTAAAGCTGCATTCTTATTTTAGATAAAGGTTTTTATCATCTGGTCTGCCACTGTAGCTGGGACAGAAGCCAGTTTTACAAGCTCAAACCCAAACTGGTGGCATTTAGCAATTACAGTCATGCCTTGAGAGATTTATTGCATAGAACCTAAATGGCAGAGGAGAGCGTTGCCTGTTTTTTTTTTTTTTTTTTTAACATAGTCTTTCAGGTCGCTTTTATCTGCAGCTGAGTGCAGCACTTTTCAAAGACTGAAGTTGCCCTGGGAGTGTGCCAGCACCTTCACTCCTGATTTCAACAGGACTTGAGGCTAGCAGCTTTGCACAGGACAGTGCCTTATAGCCCAGCTGCCAGCAATGACTGGAGACATGCTGCAGACTAGCTATTGCTTTAGCTAGTAACAAGCATTCCTGGCAACACAAGCAATATTGCTTTTTGCTGGGAAAGAAAGAAAAGAAACGGAAGTGGAAGAATAGGAATGGAAGGGAAGACAGTACGTGGTGTGCACGTCCAGCATTACACAGTCATATAACTCACTCCACCCTAGCATCAGTCTGCTGGAAAGCCACAGGAGAAGCTGCAGGTGTCCATGAAATCCTGACTTTTTTGCCATGGTTGCCTCCAGCAAGCTGCAGTACAGGCTTTGTCCCAGGGTGAAGTTAGTGTCTCCTACGCTGAGCCCAGCATGGCCACTCCCTATCAACAGTGAAGAACAGGTCCCCCTAAGTTAGTAGATACAACCTAAGAAATCCAGGTATTATCTGAGGTACTTTGTTCACTCATTTTGGTCATGTGAGTTCCATTTCAATTATTCATTGCAATATTGAATAATGAATAGAGACATATCCCTTAAGATAATCTACAAAATGCAAAGAAGACTTAGCCAGTAGGGCAGCTTTATAAGTTTTAGGCACTGCGTTTTTGTGGAAAATCAGGGCCAGATAAAGATTACTAAAATTGGACTGACATGGAGGTTGTTTTTCTGTCAACTCTTAAGGATGCTGGTTTCTTTTTACAGGAAAATTGTGGATAGAATAGATGACAACAAAGATGGCTATCTCACAACAGAAGAATTAAAAAACTGGATTAAACGGGTACAGAAACGCTATATCTATGAAAATGTGGCTAAAGTTTGGAAAGACTATGATCTAAATAAGGACAATAAAATTGCCTGGGAAGAATACAAGCAAGCCACATATGGTTATTATCTAGGTAAGATAACATTTTCAGATTATATGCTCAAAGACTATTGAGATTATAAGGCATGATTTCATGCCTTACAGTCAACAGGAGTTTGGTGTCATACTTAGGACTCTTGAAAATCACATTAAATTTTATAGATGCCCAGAGGTCAAAAGAACTTCTTAGCTGTTTATTGCAGCATTTCCACATGGGTCACCAGAACACAAAGTTTTGTAGAGGGATTATTAAATGTACTGACAAAGCTGCATTAAAGTCTCCTCCAGTTAGAAATATATATATATATTAACATTAAAAATGGTACTTTAATTAAAAAATAATACATTGCAGAATTAACCAGTATTTGTTAATTCAGTCTCTCTATACTCTTAAGATTCTAGATGCTAAAAATTTAGGATGGGTCTAAGCTATAGCAAAGTTATTGATTAAAATAGTTCTTACAGAATAACATACTCCAGACTGTGATCAACTGCAAATGAAAATCCTTAACAAATCAGGCAAAAGAAACATGTATTAAAAAATATACCTGAATCTTTTTTTCCCCCACGTACATTTCCTTTGCTTTTTATAAGTTAATGAAAGGAAAGGAGGAGATCACTTAAGCTAAAGGGCAATGCTGACAGAACAACAAATTGGTATTAATTGAGCATTTATACTGGAAATGAGAAGACAATATCTACCTACCATAGAGGCAGTTTCTGGAGCAAGCTTCCAGTAGCAGTAATAATTCCAAAGTCTACCTTAGATTAAAATGGAACTTATTACATTTGTGGAAGGAAATATTTGATGCACGACCCCTGCAGCAGTATCCTTGGGAGCCCTTCTCAGCAATTTGTCTTTGCTCTCTGTAATTCCCAGCATTCGGAGAACATCTACTACATTGTGGTCTTGTGTTAATGTACACTTAAAATACCCATCTGTGATTCCTGGCCTCGTCTTTTTCGACTGAGTTTGTCTCCCAACCTGCGAATTATGAAATTGTTGTAATATGAATATTTTTCAAGTTTGAAGTCAGTTTAGTGATCCTATTTTAAAAATTATATCAAATACCATTCATTTTATGCCACTGAACACCCTGAAAAAATGTAATTGTTTTAAACTGAAAATAATTGTTAGGTTCCCTGTAGCAGAGGCGTAGCAGTTAGATAATTTCAGTCAGTCTGCCAGCTTCTGAAACCACTTTCCTTTGGTTTGCTTGCTTTTTGAAACTGAAAAGTTGGGTAGATCGTACTGATTCCTAAGAAGAATAAAACTTCTGTGAATGAAGGCTACCCCAAATACTGCCTAAGCAGTGCTTGTAAAAGCAGATTAAAAAAAATAAATCTATGAAGGATGATATGCAATGCTGCAAAATCCATTATCCTAGATTCCAACAGAAAGCTTACGCAGACGTTTACCTATACTACCTAGGTCACCTTTAAAAATCAAACGAAGCGCTTGACCCCTGAATTTAAAACTTCACAGGAAAAGTTCCGTTTTAACGCAGCAGCTATTCTGGCAGTAAACCTTTGTATTTCTAGACTCTAACAGCAAATTGGAGTGCTTCATTGTGGTAATGTGTTTTAAAAGGAACATAGTTTTGAGATTGTCTTGATTAATTTGCAGAAAATCCAGAAGAATTCCAAGATGCAACTGATCAGCACAGTTTTAAAAAAATGCTGCCCAGAGATGAAAGACGATTCAAAACTGCAGATCTGGATGGAGACTTAGCTGCCACTCGTGAAGAATTCACTGCTTTCCTTCACCCAGAGGAGTTTGAGCATATGAAAAACATCGTTGTCTTAGTAAGCAGAGCAAAGCCAATGCCATTGTTTTTACTTTTCTTTTTTTGGATGAGCTTTGAAATGCTTCTCTAACCTTTCCATGAAAGGTTTAGAAAGACACACACACGTAATAGCCAAGTGGGGAACAGAAAGGGATGCCTTTCATGAAATTCACTTGATTTAGAGCTCTCAGTATAAGAAAGACTTGTTAAATGCACTTAGACAGCTCCTAAATGGAATCAAGAAACAGTCTTAGGGCATGGACTTAACACCAAAATGAAAGGAAGGGTATGCTGACATGCAGCTGCTAAGTGTTTCCTGCAAGCTTGTATCTGCCCCTAACTTAAAACGTAGGCGTGGTATCCAGTTCATTCATGTGCAGGGAATTTTTTCAACATGAAAGGATATTTGTACATTCATTGTGTAAACAACAGTCACACTGGAATCCGTGAGAGTACATTTGCCTGTGTACAAGGGCAGGTCAAGGCCTCAAACGTGAAATGAAGGAAGAGGCGAGTAGCCAGAATTCTCAATTCTCTCTTGATTACTTCAATGCAAAACTATTTTCCAGGAAACCTTAGAAGACATAGACAAAAACGAGGATGGTTTTGTGGATCAAGATGAGTACATTGGTAAGTGTTGAGGTTTGTTTCGTATATAGTCTCCAGTCCATTTGTCCATCTTGTCTCAAATTTGCAGCAGTTTTAACAACCCAAAGATGAACATATCTGTGCTCCAGTCCAACTATTTTAAACCAACCATCCAATCCAGAAAGTTTAATTTCATTTTAGGCAGATAGCAACACCACCAGCAAAAAGTTCCTCATACTTTACAGCATAGGATCCTCCTCTGAGGCTCATATAATTTGGCTAAGAGGGTCTGGAGTAATATTTTTCATGACAGGAATACTATCTCTATACTTGACCAGATTAACAGCTTTTTGAAGGCATTGTTCAGAAATGCAGGGGGATCAGAAAGTAAATTAGTCTCTTCCAAAGTCTGAATGGTACTTAACTATGCAAAATAGCTGGGAAGCACACATTGCAAAAAAGAAAATTCACCTTTTTTCTACTAGTTATTTTCCTAGTTTAATTAGTAAGTAAGAATTCATACTTCTCTAATGGTTTGTATGGTGATGCCACTACGTTTCTTCTAGAAATATAGGATGCGTTAAAAATGAACTGTGTAAAAATAGCACTAAGGTTTAAGATTCTCAGAGAAGTTGTGAAGTGCGTGAAAGTCAGCTGTGCTTTACTTCAGTGGCAGAAAGAGAACAAAATGGGGAATATCAACAGCAGATCAGTCACAGTTAATTTGCACAAACTTCAGTCACACTAGGCAGTTAGCTGCTGTCTTGCACTTAGACCTACGAAGACAAAACGGAAGGAGGACTAGAGATCAGCAGTACATAATACATTTTAGCCTTTTGAATCATTATGCTGATACCAAAAGCTAACTTCTCCCACTGCGCTCACTTTGATGGGTTTTAAACAAAGAAAGTAGCACCAGGAAAGCATGGGTGCAAACTCAGATGAATCTTTCTGTTTCTAGTGGTGCTATAAAGATCACTTCACATATAATCAGGAACAATATACACACGTTAATTAATGGCAGGGGGTTTCTATTCCTTGTAAATTATATTTAGCCTCAGAATGTGAATGCTGTTCATTTATGACTGAAATAACAGAGCAGCATAATTTCCACAGTAATTTCAGTTCATTCAGTGACATTACCTACATATAATTATAAGGTAATTGTCAACATTTGTTACCATGTGAATGCTGGTTTTTCTTGTCTTCTATAGATAGGAACATAGAATGTTCTAGTCACGATCACCCCACATTGGCAAGGATGATAAAAATCAAATTGACAGGACATGTCAGTTGCTTCAAATAAACAATATAATTTGCACTTTAAAAAATGAAAAAAGAAAGTGAATGTGTTGTCTGAAGTTCTCTTCATGAGTTGAGGAAAACTGCTTAAAATATTCCTACTTCCCTTTTTCAGATACAATTTTTTAATTTCTGATCAAGCTGGGGTTAAAAAACAAACAGAAAACCAAATCTAATCTTTGGTAGTTTATAAGGCACAACAAAAAGAAGTCCAAAAATTGCAGTTTCTAGATCAGGTATTTGATGGGGAAATCTCCTGAAGGTTGTAGAACAATTCTTCCTTCCTCCTCCTTCCTTCCTCCTGTTTTGTCTTTTACAAAATTTCATTTAGATTTTACACAAGCAGGGAAGCAAAATATCCATGGTCACGTTAAGCAGAGAGAACTAAATTCTTATTGTGCATGAGCAGGTAACAGAGTATGTCAGGGGCACTGTGGACAGTTCTGCCAACAGAGAACTTCAGCCTAGTGTACGCACTCACACTGCAGGCTGGGGGCAAGTTATTCCTAGATTTGAGACCAGCATTTATACTTCCTATAGATAGCAGCCAGCCTCTGGCCCTGAAACTGTCCATGTGGGGTGCACTTTTCCTTAGCACATCCTTGAAAACCAAACCCAAAAGGCATAGGAGTAGTATCACAAAGCAGGCTTTAACTATAAATAGAAAAGTGGAAGGCTTGAGAAATAAGCAGCCCTGAGGAGCAGGAAACAATTGACTGGCCACCATGACCAGAAGAGTAAAATGGACACACCTAATTTGGAAGGCCTGTGCTGTAAAGAACAGATACAAATCACTTGCTCTTAATAATCACTGCTACTCTCCCAGCTCTACACAGGTAGCCGCTGCCACTGTGGCATTTTGTACTGATGTTTCTTAAATACAGCACAGGGCTGATGTACAGAGCAGCTCGTGTGTGTAATCTATGCATCCTATGTCACAAATGGTACTCCATCCCAAGGTGCCAGTTATGACAAGTGCACTGCGTGTGGTTTCTCACACTGAATGCACCACTGATTCATAATGACTTCTCCAGGTCTTTCTTTGTAGAAGAATACCTTCTACTGGAGTGTGCTGCAGCACTGCATGGTTAAAAAGGACTCATCTACTAAGATGAATTTCTCTTACACAGACCTCTCTAAAAGCAGGACAAAAGCATTCAAGTTCCATTTATCAATTTTTGTTTTCCTAAATTTCCCCTGTGCCTTTTTTGCCTTAACCACTCTGCTGGCTGGAGTCTGATCTTATCCACAAAGACATTTGCTGGCAGGGACAAGATAAAAGTGCTGAGTTCCTTTCTCCCTATGTGTCTGAGCCCAGCACTAAAGCTTATGATTGCTATTTAACTAAAGATCCTTAAAGAATTTTTTTCATTCTGAAATTCAGTGGATGATGGCCTTTGGCCACGTTCACCTCTCATGTTAGCCTCACCAGCAGCGCACAGTTACGATGCAAGGGTAATGTAAGAATGGGCAGAATCACCAGCAGAGAAGAAATAGGCCTGAGAGAAGAGACACGCATCTACTCTATTTACACCCCACATTTCATTTTCTGTGGACAGTGCAAAGAGTGAAAAGTTTAGTCTTCCTCTGAGGAACACTGGGCAAATGTCTTTACTTTGTGCATAATTTGCAAATTAAATATGACTCGAGCGAAACCTTTCTTTCCTCTCCAGCGGATATGTTTGCAAATGAAGAGGGTGGACCAGAGCCTGACTGGGTGATCACGGAGCGTGAACAGTTTTCAGATTTTCGTGACCTCAACAAGGATGGAAAGATGGACAAAGAGGAGATTCAGCACTGGATTCTCCCACAAGACTATGATCATGCACTAGCTGAAGCCAGGCACTTAGTCTATGAATCAGATGTAGACAAGGTACTTAGTGTTCTAGTACATTTTTTTTTTAAGTTATATAAGGTGGTGTGTTTTTTTAAACATATCAGCTAGCAAGAAATTATTCCTAATAACTTTTCTTATTAGTACACTTTAAATGGAGTTTTAGAGGCTAAAATTGCTAGCGTGTTAATGTATCACAGCCAATTTCAGTTGGTAGGGTTAGAATCACAAAGTAAAAGTAGTAAAATATAGTTCATCAGCTCTAGAGGTCCCACTGGCTTTCATTAGGTTAGGTAAGAAATTATTTATCATCTTAAACCTGGAAGTTTTAACACAGTAGAAATATTCTTTTTCCTTTTAAGAGTGGTCATGGGTTTTGTATGCTAATTTAGACTGCAAGAGAAAAATTAAAGATACATTACATAGGAGGTAGCAAAAAACCCCCATTTCTATACTCAAACACACATCTTTGACTTGAAGACTGGCTCAATGCATCCACTTCCTCTAACGTGGGAGATTAATGGTTCAGTAGATCCCAGATGGTGATCTGCAGAAGTTTAATGTGAGCAAAGCTGGAACCTGAAAAACCAAAACACTCTTACACAGAGAGCGTGTAAATTGCTAACGTGAGCAACCGTCTTCAACAAAACGCACCAGAGGATTTTCATTTTCACTGTTAGGAAGGTAAAACCAAACCACAGGGCAAAACCGCGTACCAGATAACCCATATACTGCTTGGCAGTTTGACCCAACTGAAGCCAGTGGAACTTCTGTTTTCCACTGGGGCCCAAATTTCACTCACCATGACAGCCACAACGCTACCTGAACCTGCAGTCCACTGCTTTGAAGAAATGTCTGTTTCCCAGGGCTCTTATAAGTCAACGCTGGTGTGTTTCTTACTTAGCTTTGAAAATGTTCTTACAGAGATTTTATTTTCCTCCCACCAGGATCAAAAACTAACAAAAGAGGAGGTTCTAGACAACTGGAATATGTTCGTTGGAAGTCAAGCTACCAATTATGGGGAGGACCTCACAAGAAACCATGATGAACTATGATACAGTGTACCAACCAATATGCCACAGACCTTTCTTCCACTTTACTTTTTGGGGAAGATGGACAAGGGACATACTCACAACTAAATGACTTGCATTAATATGTTTTTAACATGCCAGCTTATTACCTCAGAAACCGCATAGAAATAGCTTTTTACTCTTTTCACGTGGTTAAGTACAATATCTAATTACTACAGTTTTATTTTGGAAAACATAAAAAGGTAACTTTTCTTAATAGATTAGAGCCTGACCTGGATAAGGCACTTCTGAAACATAATTGCAAGGATCTTTAATAGTGAAATACTTTCTTCAAATACCCGTTTTTACTATAGTGAAACGCAGCTAGGATTAGAAAGAAACCTAATATTTAAACAGACTAAGTTATTTAGTCATCTTTTTTAATAGCATATAACAATTTAGAGTTATACTTTGACCCTCCTATCCAGAGAAAAGGTTTGCCACAACAAGATCCACAACCTTTTTCTCCACACTTTTTCTCTCCCTCTTTGGGCCAGAGGTGCTGAAGAAGGTACCCAGGAGCCCTCTGGCTCATAGCTTTGCAAGTGCAACATGTACAACTGGCCCTTCTCTCTAACCCCCATCACAATGCAGAGACAGCACACGTGGCCCAACACCCTGCGCCGGCATTCCTCAGCGAGGGTTGTAGAGTTTAGAGTGACAGCTGCTCCTTCTGACAACAGAATAGCGTACAATTGTTTGTGGGCTGTTGGTTATGCTGTTTCCTGGGAGGAATTATGCCACATGGAGCATAATTTATCTCATGCTTTTCGCACTTTACCCAAGCCGTGCTCTTGTTCACACAGTGTGAATGGCAGCAGTTCCATGATGGAGAAGGAATGAGACATATCACCCCTCTGGGCCTTCTGTCTTCTGTACCACATAAGAGGACAGATTTATGTGGCTAAAGTTCTGGTTTTGTATGTATATACGTATAAGTACGTGTTACTGAAGCAACTACATGAAGACAGCTTTCCTTCTAAAGAGAGGGGTAAGCTTTCCACACAGGTGCTTTCTTTTTTACTGTGTAATGTGAGCTATTACATATATATTTTTATATACCCAACTTAGGTAAGTTTGGTTGTTTTTAAGTGTACTGGTTTTAAAATAAGCACAATAAAACCAATACTTCTTTTTGATACTCTGAAGGTGCAATAACACTAACGCAGACTAGCATAGAGAGATGATGTGAAAGCAGGAACCAAGCCTTTAAAGCCAGTAGTTCCCAAAGCACTCGATCATTGGCAGCTCCTGCAGCACTGGTTGGTCATCTACAAACAGCAGCTGGACACATGGCAACAACTGTTTCTTCTTCACCTCATTAAAAAAAAAAAGCTAGAAATAGGTCCAATATGCATTGTTGCTGTCACTAGAATCTGTGCTTAACACTAATACTAGGGGATAAGGGCTCCACAACACAGTTCACTTGGAGGTTCCTTGAAGGTTTGGTGTACGGCATCACACACTGGTGATCACACAACCATCCAGAGAGGAGCTTTGAGGCTCCCAGGTTGTGATATACTTCAGGAATTTAACAAATCTGTGAAAATCATGAGACAATGCAGAACTGTGACCTCCATAAACAGTGTCATTTTTATAAGGTCATATAAGAACTGTGGTGAAATATTTTACATCTTCCAATTGAAGAAAATTAAATCTAGATATCAGAGTCTGGCGGAGATTACATGTTCTTGCTAGCACAATTATTAAGCTTTTGGTATGCACTTCCTATGACATTGCCAGCAGTGTCTCCAAAAAGTCCCTACCTCTTCCACTAACATACAGTAGGACAAATGTCATAAGACATAAGCGAACTGTTTTTGCTCTTCCAGTACCCTCAAGTTAAGTAAATGCCTAAATGCAGTGTTATCTGAGAAGCAATAAAATTGTATCTTGGCACACGTAAAAGATTATCTGTTTTGTTTATGACTTGGATTTGGAAAGGTTTATTGTATTCAATAATCCTAACAATCTTGAGAACGTGGGGGTTTGGTTTTTTTTTTTTTTTTTAGTAGTCCTTTCATACTAAATTTTAACATTTTTATATTTTAGTAACAGAAATGCAGTACTCTTTCTGTGCTTAGATTATCTTCTGCTGTTTCAGGAAACAATACCTTAAAAGACCTCAAAAAAGGCTTGTTTCCTGCAAGTGAAACCGCAGCTCAGACTGGATACTTAAGCCAAGGATTTTCACTGGAGCCCAAGGGAAGGTTGTTTGCTAACTCTTGTTGAAATTCAGTGGGAGTTGGGTGCTGAGACACTAAGCATCGTTGCCTTCAGCTAAACATGACACTTCTAAATCCACTGCATTCTGTCCCAACAAAAAACTGCATCTGAGCTTTGACAAGCAATCACATTTTCTTCCACGTTACTCAATGAATTTGGAATAGAATTAGTGTCAAATGAGAGAGAAATCATGTTCCCATGTTTGTTCTCAATTTCTATTAATGCTTGGAACACACTGGGCATTTTCCAGTATAAAACTACACTTACGTGAGTAACAATGCTAAAATCAGAGGAGTAACTCATGCAAACAGGAACTGGATATTTAGACCCACGGTATTTTACAGTAAAATATTTTTTTACAAAAAGAATGGTACTCAGGTAGACTATATCCAGCTATGAAAAAGGCAAACATGCCAACTAGAAAGAGATTTAAAATAATCTAATTATTTATCAATCATTGTAAGGGTAACGGGGTCATACTAAGATCAGGAGCTTTTTTATAAACAAGAATATAGAATCGTTTTTTTAGAGAACATAGGTATCACTGAAGTGATTTCACTCTGAAGGCTACCTTCCTTCTGCAGCTCTTCGTAGTGTTTCAGTTACCAACATTCAGTAATGCACAGTACATTTTGTGCACTAAATTTTCCTTTCAAGCTCAATGCACTAAGGAAGAGTAACTCCAAAAGAGACTAGAGCTTCTGGGTTTAAATTTAACACTATTTAAGGAAAGCAAACCTTTGCTAGGGGATATAACTGTTAACATTGTGATTTTTCAAGCCTAAGGTTTCTAATGGGGTTTGACTGTTGCAGAGATAACATTTTTTTTCCTAGGTAACATATTTCAAGTCATATTATGAGCAAACGTTACAAAATTTTAGTGTAATGTGAAATACTGTAATGTCAGATAGCATTATTTATCTGCTTAATATGACTAAAACCATTAATTGCTGGGAGCCATACTTCATCCCAGCAACATGAAAATCCATTTTGTGCCTATCTTGTCAGTTATTGCCGATTTTCTTAATGAATTGTGATGTAGTGAAATTCTGTTGGGAAACGTGTTTATATATTTCCAACTGCAGGTTCTGTATGGTAACTCTTATTACATAGATCCTCCATTAACTAAATGTTTTCATTATGCCTATGCCACAACATATCAAAGGTGCATTTTTCTTACTTAGATATCTGGAATAGCCATTATTATTGCACATGCAGTTTTAATTATTGGAATTTATGAAATGAACTAAGTGGCTAATGTTCATTGTCTTATATTTCCATTTAATGATTTAATCAGGTTAAACCTGTCTCCTATTCCAATCAAGGTACGGTACATAACTCCTTGAGGAAAGGAGAATGCAGCTCATCCTGATCTAATTACACTTACACAAGTATCTTAAAATAGTTGCATAATGCTTTACTATTTGCAGTGCAGAACTTGATCTTGATCCCAGTGAAGTTAATGGCAGAACTCCTAGTCCCTACATGGAGGGACTAAGGCCGTAGCCACCCAAAGGCAAGCAGAATGGTAGGATGGTGTCACATGAGGTTAGAAATAACCTCACGACCATCAGATCCTGATCTCCTTACTACTACTACTGCACAGTAACTTTTAAGAATTTAGACTGACTCATACTCATGGAAGATTGTGTAATTTAGACAGTGTCTAATGTTTCACTGGTCTGTTCAAGTAAACTTAGCTGTGTTAGTGAGCAATGGTGGCATTACTACTAGACAGCAAGTTACCATTAGCAAATGGAACTAGTTTTACAGGGAAGCAGAAGGAGCCACAGAAAATATCTCAAGGACAAAGATTTTGCAAAACGTGACTTGGGTTCTAGTCAAACACTTGGAAGCACCCACTGCTAGTAAGCGGTGCCCTTCTCTTTTCATCACTCCAATTTAGCGTGTGCTATATTCCATTTCGTATGTCCAGCAAGGAGCATGTTAACCATATTCACTAATTACAAAGGAAGAATTTAGGATTCTTTTCCACGGAAGTTTCAGGCACCAGTAGGACTGATGTCCCTCAAACTCAAGTGCTGTATAGCATATTCCAAACATGATGAATTTCAAAGCAACCTCAGAAGAAAAAGGTACCAGCTTTCCCATAGTGTGAAATAGCGTACAAGGGACATACATGCATATGTGACACAACAGGCAATTTCACACCTGCATTCTGTCTCTCCACAGGATAAGGTAAAATATCTTCAACAGATGGGAGCGTCTCTTCACTATGCCAGTGACAAGAATACAATTATCATGTATATGCATTACTATTCCTATTGATAATTAAGGGAGATCCATCTTCAGCACAAGTGTTGCCTCTGGTGAGGGCAGCAGAGTTCTGGAGCTCAGTTTCATATACTACATGTTTGTCATTTTCCTTGTGGAAGAGTTTATTTCATAATCATAAAGTGTCCAAATATGATCTGGTCGGCTAGCATTTGAAGTTTTAGTGTTCGCTTAAGTGGTTTGTAGTTGGCCTCACATTTGTGAGGCTGGCCACATTTGTGGTCTGAAACCACCACATACCTGAAATTCCAGGACATCTATATAGAACAAGTCATGGCATGATACCGAATCTGAATAGCAATTAAGAGTGACACATGCATTAGAAATGACAATGTTTCATCATATCAACAAGAATTTAGATACACATCAAGACACTTTCACAGTTAAGTGGGAGATTTTTTTTTATATGGGAATAGCCTGACAACCTTTAAAATGAAAGTCCATTGGACCAATGGGGGTACAAA